CATAAATAGAAAGAAATTTAAGCCAACAATATATACTAAGAACAAATCAGCCGACGGTGGCGCATGCTGTTCCCAGTTACTGCGAGCTGATGGCAGAGAGTCCGCTGACGCCAGGAGATGAGGTGGCTGTGAGCTGAGCTGACAGCCACAGGCACTCATCTAGCCTGTGCAACAAAGCAGACTCATGTCTCAAAAAAAAAAAAAAAAAAGAAAGAAAGAAAAGCATAGTCTCTGGAAAACATAATGCTGTTGGTATTGATCCCTCTTCCGAAAATGACAAAAACAAAAAGCCCGAAAGCTACACCTTAGTTTTTAAAACACGAATGTGGATGGCAGAGGGTTGAGACACTTTCACTGAGATTTTAAACGTAAGGCAAGAATTTCCCTGCAGCCTCATGTGAACCAGACCCGCTTTGTTCGCCGTGGTGCCTGCTAACCGCACAGACCACGGCCCCGCGGCCCTGCGGGTCTGTGTCCCATCAGCACGCCCGCAGCGTCTCCATAAAAAGACTCCAAACCGGAAGGCGATGGCAGCACCGCCCCATCGCTGGCTGAGAAGAACATGTGATAAGTGAACACCGAGCAAACCAGTCTTATTGCAGGCTGTTTTAGACAGCACCTCCGCCCCCTGCACGTGTCACTCCACGGAAAGTATTCAAAAACTCGAGTCAAACTCTCTCTCAGGATGTTGCCGTGTTTCTCTGAAAACAAGACCTCCCCATAAAATAAGCCCTAGCAGGATGTCTAAGCATTTGTGCAATAGAAGCCCCACCCCGAAAATAAGCCCTAGTGACGGGCGTGCCTATGCAGCGTGTCTACACAGCCCATGCACGTCGTTGCGGAGCAAGAAAGAAGACGAGCAGCCCTTCTCATCCGCCCCACGGTGACAGCCACTGTCCCAGAGGTGACCGGAAAGGTGCGGGCAGCCCCGCCAACAAGGCCGGCTCCCCCTGTCGGCTCCCGGCCATCCTGTGCGTGCTGCAAGCTGAGGCTTTGAGGGGAAAATCACACATCCCCCGAAAATAAGCCCTAGGGTGTCTTCTTGAGGAAAGATACATAGAAGACCCTGTCTTATTTTCGGGGAAACACGGTATTATCGAGTAGTCAAGTTGGAAAAGGCAAATTTTACACCCCTTACACACTCGAACACCTCCCTCCTCAGACAGGAGACGTGTTTGAACAACAACAGTAAGGCGCTGACACACCCGGGTCCACGCCCAAAACACAAACTCTTTTGCACTTTCCCCAGCGGACGCTGTGGCCGCCTGAAACCGTGGTTCAGACAGAGAAGGCACATCCTGATTTTGTGCAGAAATGGGATTAGATGCGTCAGCCTTTCAGAATAGAGCAAATATATATTTCATGGTAATGGCCTCTAATGAAAGTCACAAATCAGACCTGAATGCCAAAAAGTGGCATTCTCCCTCTCCCTGTCCTTCCCCGTCAGCGCCGTGATGGAAGCACTAAATGTGAAGACATTGCCGAGAGCAGGGGGTACTTGCCGGCCACAGCGCCAGGGCTACTCGAGGCGGCTCGGTCTGGCAGTGATGGTGTTATTTAGGCACAGCACACTCCCCCACAGTCGGATGAGGATGCAGGTACACATGGCCAAGCAAGAAACAAACACACGCATGCTCGTGTGCATCTACACACACACACACACACACACACACACACACACGCTCCACAAACCACAGAAGAGTAGGGCAGAACCACACGCGGCGATGAAATTTAAAACCCGTCAGCCGGTTACCGTGACCCCATGGATACCTGCCTAGAGTCTGTGGGCAGGTCACCTTCTCCTCCGGTGGTTTACTTTAAACAGGTTGAGAGACTAGTGCAATGAACATCTATATGCTCTTCATTTTTGTTCACCAATTGTTACATGTTTGCAATGTTTCTTTTATCTTTCTGTATATGTTTATATACCTTTTTCTTTTGGCTGAAATTGAAAGGTAATTTGCAAATATCTTGACAATTGCCCCTAAAATGTGGCCTGCTTGTGGATCTTCATTGCTGTGGACCTTTGCATGTGAAATGCCCCCCAACGCCCCATGCCTCACCAACTCCTAATATCCTGCAGACCCCATCCAAATGAGCCCTTCTCCTTAAAGGTTTCCCGTATTTTTCTCTCTACCTCAGCCTGACACTGCGAAGTCCCTTTCTCTGGGGTCTCAAATTATCTGATTCAACTTTGGCTAAAATTATTTTTGGATTTTATGGGGTTGTGCCAGTGGGATTTCCTGGGAAGCCCTTGTGTGAAAGGCTGGCCTTGGGGGATAAGGTCTTTGGTGGGTGGAAAGGATAAAAGAATGGGTTAGGAAGCGTGTACATTCCGAGGTTAGCACACAATTCACACTAAACGGTCATTTTGTTACCACGCAGTGGGAGTTGTGTGCAGATTCCCGATTTAAAGGAAAAAAAACTTTCTTTTCATACTGAAATTTATTCCAATAATTCCAAGAGAGACTGATTGTAACCTTAATTATACCTATGTGTGTTATAGAAACAAAATACACATGTCTCTGAAAATTTGTTGTGTAAGGATTGTGCTCGTTAAGTTTAAATCCGTTTGTCATACGAGGGAGTAAATTGCCTCCTTAACAAAAAACAATTAACCCACCTATGATGACCTCAATTATTTCATTTAATTATAATTAACCAATTACCATGTCAAAACTGCACTGTTACTACTTTGGGAATGTTATTTAAAATCACTCTTTTCCTGCCCGAGTTCTATGCAAGTAAAAACAAGCAAGTATCTCTCACAGACGGATTTCTGAGCACAGCACAGAATAGCGTTTCGTCGCAGGGCGCTAAGGAATACGTACAGCAGAACGGGAGCGGGGAGAGGGCGCGGGCAGGGGCCTGGCATGCCCGCCCAGGACAGCTGGGATTTGGGCGTTGACCTGGGTAACCACGTTCTGTCCTCGTGGGCTGGCATAGCCAAGACATGTGAGTTACATGCATTAGCTGGAATAAAACAGTAGAAATATAAAATACATCAGGCAAATTCAGGGGGCTATTTCAAATTGTTTAGCGGCTGCATTTTAAAGTACAGAGGTGGGCAGGTAACACCTAGATACGCATGTCTCCAACTCTCTTTCCCAGCAGACGCCCCCAGGGTGCCAGGTGGCACCCGTATGACCTCACAGCCCCTCACTTGCAAGGAGAGAACACGAGTGTGGGTGAGCCAGGGAGGCTTGCATTACGCAGACACTGGCTGCATCCTGAATGGAAAGACAAAGGCAGTGATTCACAAATCCTAGCGCAGTAACAAAACATCCACCTCCTGGTCGTCTGTGATGAACCCTTGTGCTGTGTCTCCGGCTGGGAGCTGCCCCCAGGCCAGGTCCTAACAGGGAATGATAAAGTACGTGCCATCCAGTTTTATAAATCCTTCAAATGACTTCACATTCAATGTTTGCAAAAGTTCTCCTCCCCCTCTGTCCTCTGTCCTCTCTCCCTCTCTCTCTGTCTCTCCCCACCCCCTCGCAGACCAGGAACAAGCACGCCACACACGCCAGCCCCCAGGAACAGGCGGCTTGCTGGGGCGCCTGGTCTCAGCGACATTGCCAGCTTCCCAGACGGGGACAGCAGACAGGAGCCCCTGCGCGGGCCCCGCTGCCTTGACGAGGGAGTTGACCACTGTGCTGCTTCGGAACCATCAGCAAACTGTCATTTCCTCCCTCGGGGGGCACGGGATGCACCTGCCCAGGCAGACGCTGGGAAACTTCAAGCCTGCACTGGACCCAACTTAGGCTTCTTTCGGCCTCGTCTCCTGGGCCGTCCTGGAATTCGGAGGCTGGAGGCGACCCAAGGTGTAGACGCTGCTGGGGCTGAGCCTGCGCCAGCCCAGGCCCCTGCCGGTCACCTTGCCCCCAGGCTGCCCACGCCGCCTGCACGAGCTCCCCACGCCAGGTGTCAGCAGGGGACAGAGAGGCTGGAGAACTAGAGGGCCCCTCTTACAGGGCACTAATCTCATTCCTGAGGGCTCCCCGCTCGTGACACAATCAATCGCCTCCCAGAGGCCCCACCCCATAATACCATCTCCCCGAGGGTTAGGGTTTCAGCGTAGGTTTTGGGGGGACACAGACATCCGGACCACAGCACGATGGCACGGCCCAAGAGGGAAAGGACGGACTCTCCCGCCTGCCTGTCACCTGTGGTCCCACCTTTCACACCAACATTCGTGCGTAAAAAATAAAGAAAAAACGGATTAGTCCAGAAGAATGAATCAAGGCAAGCACAACACTGAGTCACTAAAAAACACTTTGGGGCATAAATAGATGTTCCCTTTTGGCAAATTTTCTAGGTTGGTGGGTATTTTAAGTTTTACTGAGGAAAACAGATATACATTTTTATTAAGCAGCTGAAATAACTAGAGCATAGAATATACTTTCCCACATTTTCCCACTTCTTCCTTCAGACAAACTCTAAGTTAATGCATAGTTTATATTTTAAATCTAGAAATTGACGTGAAGTTTTCTGCTTGTTCTCAGGAAGTGGAAAAGCAGAAATACGGGGTTACTGTTTCAACATCTCAGTTATGTTTAAAATGTTACATTACACTGTATAAAAACTGAAAGGACACTAGGCAAGTTCCTATGATGTCCTGAGAATTTTGCTGACACTGTGGGGCCCAGAGGTCTGGACCCATGACCTGGGATGACCTAAGTCAGGCTCATGTTGTCCACAGCAACGCGGTCATATGTGTGCTGTTCAAGGAAGGGGCCCCTACCCTGCCGAACACAGACACTTTGCAATTTGGCTCTTATAAAAGCTTAGTTGGGTAAATCACTTTCACTAAGGATTGCCAGAAAAATGTTCTACCCATTCACTTTTCTACAAATTGTAAAATTGGGCCCTGAATTAAGCCAGAGTTATCACAGGGCTCCAACCTGCACCACGTTGCCTAGTATCCTGTGAAACTATTTTCACTGACCTCTGTTTTGCCGTTATATTCTCAGATTACATTTACAGATATCTCAGAAGGAATGCACGGGAAATTCAATACTATATTTATTACGGGGCCTTGTCTACTGGATAATTCAGGGTACCCCGATGGGCACATATGGGAAACATGAACCTCAGATCACAATGCTGAGAGTCAGTAGTGATCAGGATACCTGAGAAAGGCTGTATTTCTGGGATGCTCTTGAGTTTTACTGTGTAGACGCCATGCATCTGTAACTGACCATGTTTCTCCTTGTACTTCCACCTCTTGAGAGCTCAGAGTCGAAATCTAGACCCACCTTTAACACAGAAGCGAGAGTAGAATGGCGGTTACCCAGGGGAAGGGCTTGGGGGCGGATGGGGAGACCCTGGTCGAAGGGTACAGAGTTTTAGTTATGCAGATGAGGAAGTTCTGGAGATTGTGAAAGTTATTAGAATGAACATGGAATGTGTTACGAAAACCCGACAAACAGAGCCCCGGGAGGCCACGGAGGGAGGGTTCTGGGTCTGCAATGTCTGACAGCAAAAAAGACGCTGCAAACCCACAGCTTTGCACACACAAGGAACACTTCTGCAAAGACCTCTGCCCAGCAAGTGCCCACCCAACCTCGGGCTGGTGTCACCCTGTGGCTGGCCCTTGTAGCCCAGGAGAATTGTTTCAGAACAATTTCTCCATCCTTCTCATTTTTCCCTTTAAAAACCTTTATTTCCCTTTATCCTCCTGAACGTGCACAGTTTCCTACAGCAGGAGCATTCCCACTGCAGTGCTGTGTTCTCAGATAAACGTCACTTTCTCTGAGAGGCCTCTCTCTGTGTGCCTTGTAGGGTGACAAGAGCTAGTGTCCAGCATGGGGACTATAGCTAATAATACCGTACTTTACACTGAAAATTTGCTAGGAGAGATCTTAAGTGTTTTCACCACCAAAAGAAGATAACTATGTGGAGTAACAGAAGCGTTAAATTCGTTTGGCTGCAGTGATCAGTTCACTGTGTGTATGCATACCAAGACATTACACTGTGCATCTTAAATATATGCAATTTCAATAAAAATGTGAAAACAAACAGTGGGGATAGGCTGGCGAATATTTATCTTTTTTGTTTTACTCTCTGCCTTCATTGTTCCGTCACCCTGATCTGGCTGTTAGTTTCAATCTATTCTGGAAGGATTTCTAGCGAGGTGCCTCGAAGTCCTCTTGGAATATAGACTGGGCACAAATACAGGGCTGCACAAGTGCATGTATGCTGTTAGAAGAGAGAGCATTCAGCCAAGCGCACCTGACAGCATTTGCTACAGCAAACTACAGAGACATGCTGGGGGCAAAACGGGTAAAACCAGTAAACCCCATGGAAAAATCTCCTGATGAAAACAGGGGTGCCGAGTCTCTGTCTGAACCCCCAGCTTCAGCCCTGGGCTGAAGTCAGTGTGGGGGCGGGGCAGAGACCGGAGGTCAGAGTGGCCCCCTGCAGAGTCTCTTCCAACCACTCCCCTTCCTCCTGGACTCCACATCCCGCCCTTGCTGCTGGGGCAGAAATTCTTATTGGTCTTACGGTGTGGCTGAGGAAGAATATAAGGTGCATACCAGAATTCCAGCTGGGACTTGGGAGAGACTTGGAAACACCTTTAGTGATGAAAGGAAAGAGAGCAAACAGGAGGAAGACGGTTGGTGGTGTTGGGATTTGCCAGGCCCGGGAACACAGGAAGGAAGGCAGGTGTGGGCCGAGAGCAGTGAGACGTGGGCACATGGCAGGTGGCGTCCGGTGTCCTTCAGTGGGGCAGGGGCAGAGATGGAGGCTGGCGACACACATCTGGACTCAGGCACACAGACAGCAGGGGCTCAGCAAGGATTTGAATCCAGCCCGGAGCCCACTCCTGGCGGCCCCTGGTGCCAGGCGTGCAACCCCAGGGAAACACCCCCCTTGCCACCACCTCACCACGCTGCCCCTAGAGACAAAACACAACACCACGCCCAAGTGGAATCGCCCCAAGGCGGGGATTTTGTTGCTGTTGTCTCTATGTTGGGCCCACTTATGTCTGGAGAAACTGACTCCAGCTCGAAGACAAATTTCTCCAAATCCATCTCTCGAGAAGCGTGCTGGGAGTCTTGCAGTCACCCACCGTTCAAACGTCAAGATGAGATCAAGCGTGAGGTCCAGAGAACTGGCGGATTTCCTACTACATCTTTGGCTTTGACGTTCAGTGTCGTTAACTTGAGTGGACCGAAGAAATAGCATGAATTAATGACGGCCACGAATCATTGAAATACGTTCAAAGTAGTTTTACTACTTGTAGTTTCATTACTTTCAAGCACTCACAACTAAAGGAGCTCAATGCTGGAAAGGAATTGCTGAGCCCACTTTATCCACACAACACCTTCAAGGGCACACTTTATTTATAGTGTTCACATTAAAATGCCTCATTGCAAGTAGCTCTTGCCAATTTATTTGAAAGCAGCTTGCTCTCTTATGTAAGAGCAACTTAATTTGCCTAATTAAGATGTTTAGCAGACTTTGTCTCCCGTGACGGTGCGAATAACCACACCAGCAGACGTTCACTGAGTGCTTACTACGTGCAGGCAGTGGGCCAGCGCTGGCCTGGAGTCGCCTCATTTCCTCCTCACGAATATGGAGTAGATGCAATCACTATCCTCGCAGGGGATGGAACTGAGGCTTAGAGAAGGTGGAAGTGGTGCAATAGACCCACAGCCAGGTGATCTGCCAGGGGAGAGACCACTCTCAACCCACAGAGCAAAGCGACGGGAGCAGCAAAGATCAAACCACCCACCGTAGCAAATGTGTTTATGATTGAGTGTGGATTTGTCCTTTATTATATAATATCTGAAACTGTAACTCACCGGAGCTTACATTTTCTAAGTCACGCTTACGGAAGCATAATTCACCTGTAGGACAATTCAATTCCTTTGAGTGCACGGATCAATGAGTGTTGACAAATGTATCCAGCCACGGAACGCCTTGACAGTCCAGGTACAGCACGGGTGTAACACCCCCGCCCCACACACTTGCCTCCCGCGGCTCGCATTTCCCAGAAACCACTGCTCTACATATGTAAGTGGAGTACACAGCACGTGGCATCTGGGGGCTCCACGTAGCCCGAAGCTCTTGAGATGAGCGCGTGTTGTCGCATGCACCTCGGTTTGCTCCCGCCACTGCTGGGGCGTGTCCGGTTCGTAGAAGCGTGGCACAATTGTGTCTCTGTTCACAAGCTGATGGACACCTGAGCAGGTCCCAGTTCTTTACGATTACGAGCAAAGGTGCTGTAAATGTCCACGTTCGGGCATTTTTGTGGACAAAGGTTTTTAATTTCTTTTGAGTAAACATCTAGGAGAAGAATTGTTGGGATTCGTGGGCGATTGCCTTGATGAGGCGCCTCCCACCGTTTTCCACGGCGGCTGTGTCACTTTGCATTCCCACCAAGGGAAGACAGTCCCAGCCACCCCACATCTTCGTGAGCCTGTGGCATTGTCAGACTTTTTAGTTCTCGCTGCTCTAGTAGGCGTGCCGTGGTATCTCGTGGTGGTTTTAATTTGCATTTCCTAAATGACTAATGATGGTGAGCATCTTTTCACGTCCTCATTTGCCATTCTTACATTTTTGTTAAAATGTCTGTTCAAATCCTTTGCCCGGTTTTTACTGGGTGTTTGTCTCACTTTCCAGCTGTAAGAGTTCCTTATGGAATCTGGGTAGAAATCCCCTATCATGTGCGAGTGCAGCAAATGTTTTCTCCCAGTCTGGCCAGTCCTTTGATTCTTCTGACAATGTCTTTTCAAGGACAGAAGTCTTCAGTTTTTATGGAGTCCTGTTTATTTATTTTACTTTACGGTTCATGCTTTCTGTGTTCTGCGTAAGAAACCTTTGACTAAGCCAATTATGTTTTCTTCTGTTAGTGTTGTTGTTTTAGCTCTTACCTTTAGGCCAATGGTCCCCTTTTAGTCATTTCTGTAAATGGTGCAAGTATCAAGATTTGTCTTCTTGATTATAAATATCCAACTGTTCAAACACCATTTGTTAAGAATTTGATGTTTCCCCCATGGAACTACCCTGGCATCCGTGTGAAAATCAACTGGCCACAGACAGGACAGTCTCTTTCTGTTCATTCCTTCGACTGATACATCCACTTTCATGCCAGTACTATTCTGTCTCAATCACTGGTCTCTGTAGAATAACCTTAAAACATACAGTGTGAGTCCTCCAACTGTATTTTTCTTTTGCAAAGTTGTTTGGGCTATTCTATGTCCTATGAGCTTCCACATAAGTTTAAGAATCAGCTTGTCAAATTCTGTGAGCAAAAGTTCGGAGATTTTGATTGGCATTGCATTGAACCCCAAACTCAGTTTGGAAAATCAGCCCCTTAAAAATGTTGTGTCTTCTGATCATGATCTCGGGGTTCCTTCTTTATTAAGTTAAGTCCTCTTTAATCTCTCAGCAGTGTTTTGCAATTTTCAGCATATTAACCTCACACACATACTGTAAGATTTACCCCTAGGTGTTTAATGATTTTGGATGCTATTGTATATCATTTTAATTTCAATTTCTAATTTGTGTTGCCTAAATAAAGACAATTGACTTTTTCATTTTTACCTTGTATCCTGCAACCTTGCTAAACTCATTAGATTTAGTAGATATTTTTATAGATAGTTTGTTAACTCCTATGTAAACCATCATGTTATATGCAAATAAGTGCCATTTTCTTTCTTCCTTTCCAATCTGTATAACACACACATATATAATTTGCCTTATTGCACTGCCAATAATTTTCAGTATAATGTTGAATAGAAGTGGTACAAGTTGACAATGTTGTCTTGTTCCCAATCCTAAGGCAAAAACATTCAGTCTTTCAGTATCAAGTATGCTGTTAGCTGTTGAGGACATCCCTTTTTATCCACAGCTTTGAGAATTTTTCTGAGTAATGGATTTTGATTTTTGTCAAGTGATTTTACGCAACTACTGAGACAATTATGTTTTTTTCTTTATTGTCTGTTAATATGGTAAGTTATATCAATTTATGTTCAAGTGCTAAACCCAATTTGCACTCTTGGGATAATTTCTGCTTTGTTATGATGTATTATTCTTTTTATATATTACTGGATTCAACTTGCTAATATTTTCCTAAGGTTTTTTTTTTTAGTATGTGTTCATAAGAGACATTGTCCTGTAGTGTTGGTTTATTTTTTTTTCCTTGTAATCTCTTTGGCTGGTTTTAGTATTAAGGTAATTCCTGCTTCATAAGATGAGAAGGAAAATGCTCTCTCCACTTGTGTTTTCTGGACCCATTTGTGTACAATTGATGCTATTCCTTCCTTAAATGTTTGCTAGAAGTCACTCGTGAATCCAACTAGTCTTGAAAGCTTTGCTGCGGGAAGGTTTTCAACTAAAAATTGAGTATCCTTAGTAAATATAAGACTATACAGTTTAAATATTTCCTGTTTATCTACCTTTGAGTTCTCTGATTTGTCCAGCAGTGTGCAATCTGTTAGTAAACTCATTAAAGAATACCTCATCTCTGGTATCACTTTTAAAAGTTTCTGACACATCCATTTGACTTATCTGGATAGTTTTCCTCTTGTTCCTGAAATTCGATATCTGTTCATGCACGTTTTTCGTTTTTTCCACTAGATCTTTTACTATAATAATTATTTTGAAGTCCTATCTGTCGGTTCTTGCGTCTGGGTCAGCCTTGACGATGGCTGTGCTTTTTTGCTTAGCTTTTGTCTGTTTGTTCTGGTGCATGTCTTTTAATCTTTCACCAGATCCTGGGTATTGTGGCAGAAGAGCATTAGAGACCTGCGCCCAAAGCTGGCCACGCCACCCCTGCCGTCAGTCCCTTAGAGCTGGGGGCTGAGGTCACCGAGTCAGCAGCTGACCTGGCTTTGGGTTTTATCCTTGTTACAGTTGCCATCATCATACCGGAGTCCTCAATTCCTCCCGTGGCATGCGGTGGCTTTGCTGTGCTTACAATGGAAGTGGGGAGCCAGGGAGTTTTTCAGTGTCCCTGCCCTACCCTCAGCTTGCAGCAGGTGCTGCTCACCTGGCCGCAGCCCTGTCTCTGCACACCATTGCCAGGTCCCTCCCTCCCCACAGGAAGGCTGGTGTTGGTGTCTCTACTGTGAGGCTCCCTGGAGGCCGCCGGTCCAGCCCATCGCAGACAGAGGAGGCCCCGAGAGCTGGGCCCGGTGTGGCCAGCCCGCCTCCCCTGTGAGCCTCTGGGGTGGGAGAGTCCCGGTGCAGTCTCAGACACCTGAAAAGGTGTCAGCCATGCTCACCTGTCCACGAGTGACCCCTGGCAAACACTCAAACATTGGGACACGAATGACCAAAAGGGCAGATGTCCACAGGTGACAAAAGCCAGACTTCTTGTCTTTTGGAGTCTTCCAGATAACTCCCCCCTTACGCATCACATGCTACGCTGCACCAGTTTTCGTCACAAAACCATACGTTTCCCTTCGCTTCTGCCTCCGTAAATGCTGCTGTTTCATGAAGCCATCTTCTTCCTTCCCGCCAGGACACAGCAGGCCTCCGTCCTCGCCAGGTGCCCAGCGCTTTGCTTTTCCCTCTCCCGGGGCTCAGCTCGCTCTCCCTGGGCCCTCGGTGGGTGCTGCTGCCTCCTGCTTGCTGGCCATGGTTCACAGCTGGCGGGGGCCGGGTCAGGGTGGGGGTCCGGACAGGGCGGGGGTCCAGACAGGGCGGGGGTCCGGACAGGGCGGGGGTCCGGACAGGGCGGGGGTCCTGACCACCCAGCACACCTGGCTTCAGCGTCAACGTCTCCCACAGGCAGGGCCCCCTCCCTCTCCCAGGGGCCGAGGGCATCGCATCGTGGGAGAGAAAGTCCGGGAGCAGGGTGGGCTCCCTGTGCGTGCGCAGCGCTGGGGGCTCCCGCGGGTCCTGCCCGCCTGGTCCCCCTCACACAGCGGGGTGAAGGTGAAGGTGAAGGTGAAGGTGAAGGTCCTGGGCGGGGGCTGGGGGGGCCCGCGTGTCCGGGCGGAGATTCCAGGCTCTGCGTGAGCGCCGCCCACTCCGCTGGGTCTCTCCCCGCTCCGAGGGTGGCCGCGTCTGCCTCGCGTGGTCTGCCACAGGCGGAACTGCCTCGCGAAGGAAGGCTGCTCGCGGTGCAGCTCACCTGGGGCCTTGCTCTCTCATGCAAGAGAGAAAAAGTATGATTTTGAAGATCACCCGACTCTTTTCCCCTCCTTATCCGTGTTCCTGCGGCTTCCACGTCCGCAGTGAAACCGGAACGCCGCAGTTTGAGTTGCTGCTGCAGTTGGTGAGCGATCGCTTAGCCCGTGCAGACACCTTTGCTCGCAGGATTAACACAGAGCCTCCCCGTGAGAAACGGAAATCAAGAAGCAGAATTTGTTCTGATTCCAAGAGGCCTACAAGCGAGTTTTCACTCTCGAATTCTGCGCGACTCACACACAAAGACGGCGTCGATTCTGTGCCTGAGCAAGAAGTGCTCATGGGCCAAAGCTGTAGGTCACGAGCCCAGGCGCCCCGCGTGGGGATGGGGGACACCCGGACGCGGGCCCAGCGGCTCAGTCTCTAGAGCCCCGTGTGAGGGCTCAGCGGAGAGCAGCGCCTGCCAGAATGGAACGTGAGCAGTCAGTGCGCTGCCCGACACCGGCGCCGAGAACCCTGTTGGAGCAGCCGACCCTCGGGCCCCGCTGAGACCCGCCCACCCAACCCGGATCTGCCGGCCACCGCGTCTCCCGTGGTTCTCACGCACGACAGAGAGAAGCAGCTCCCAGACCCCCGAGCCAGCGTCTACACCGCCAGAGAGCACCAGGGCTTCCCCCTCCTCACCCTCCCACGGGCATGACTACCTGGGTACCTGTCTGTGCCCAGAAAACAGGAATTCTGCCCGGCGCAGACGCCTTCCAGGGCTGGGCAGATGGCGGTTTGGGGAGTCAGTTTCTGAAGTTGCCACCAAAACGCTCCAGGAACACAAAGGTGCGACGTTTCTGTTCCCCGTCGTTTCACGGGCGGAACTCTGATGGTGCGCGGCCGGACGTGGTACCAGTTCCCACGTGGGGACAGCTCCTCGTTATAGTAAAGGCCAGTGAGCTGCGTCCTGAGCTGGGGAAGCTTCACTAACCACTAAACACGAAACGTACAGCCTCACGTTTTTGGAGGAGGCTGAATGTCCCACGTGTTAGAAGGCGGAAGGCCCCTCCAGTTTTCTCGTTACAGAGGAGGAAAGGAAGCCTAAGTACGTGCTTGTCACCGTGCCAGCGAGGTGGCTGCCCAGTCCTGGAGGTGCCAGGTCCTCGCTCATGCCCCTCACCCAATAGGATCATTGTGACCCGACCCTGCTCCGTTACCCCTGACGGCATGGCTGTGACTCGCCCCTGCTCCCGTCACCCCTAACAGCATCTCTGTGACCCACCCTACTCCCGTAGATCACCCCTGACGGCGTCACTGTATCACCCGACTCTTTTCCCCTCCTTATCCGTGTTCCTGCGGCTTCCACGTCCGCAGTGAAACCGGAACGCCGCAGTTTGAGTTGCTGCTGCAGTTGGTGAGCGATCGCTTAGCCCGTGCGGACACCTTTGCTCGCAGGATTAACACAGAGCCTCCCCGTGAGAAACGGAAATCAAGAAGCAGAATTTGTTCTGATTCCAAGAGGCCTACAAGCGAGTTTTCACTCTCGAATTCTGCGCGACTCACACACAAAGACGGCGTCGATTCTGTGCCTGAGCAAGAAGTGCTCATGGGCCAAAGCTGTAGGTCACGAGCCCAGGCGCCCCGCGTGGGGATGGGGGACACCCGGACGCGGGCCCAGCGGCTCAGTCTCTAGAGCCCCGTGTGAGGGCTCAGCGGAGAGCAGCGCCTGCCAGAATGGAACGTGAGCAGTCAGTGCGCTGCCCGACACCGGCGCCGAGAACCCTGTTGGAGCAGCCGACCCTCGGGCCCCGCTGAGACCCGCCCACCCAACCCGGATCTGCCGGCCACCGCGTCTCCCGTGGTTCTCGCACACGACAGAGAGAAGCAGCTCCCAGACCCCCGAGCCAGCGTCTACACCGCCAGGGAGCACCAGGGCTTCCCCCTCCTCACCCTCCCACGGGCATGACTACCTGGGTACCTGTCTGTGCCCAGAAAACAGGAATTCTGCCCGGCGCAGACGCCTTCCAGGGCTGGGCAGATGGCGGTTTGGGGAGTCAGTTTCTAAGGTGCCACCAAAACGCTCCAGGAACACAAAGGTGCGAGGTTTCTGTTCCCCGTCATTTCACGGGCGGAACTCTGATGGTGCGCGGCCGGACGCGGTACCAGTGCCCACGTGGGGACACCTCCTCATTATAGTAAAGGCCAGGGAGCTGCGTCCTGAGCCGGGGAAGCTTCACTAACCACTAAACACGAAACGTACAGCCTCACGTTTTCGGAGGAGGCTGAATGTCCACGTGTTAGAAGGCGGAAGGCCCCTCCAGTTTCCTCGTTACAGAGGAGGAAAGGAAGCCTAAGTACGTGCTTGTCACCGTGCCAGCGAGGTTGCTGCCCAGTCCTGGAGGTGCCAGGTCTTCGCTAAGGCCCTTCCCCAATAGGATCATTGTGACCCGACCCTGCTCCTTTACCCCTGACGGCATGGCTGTGACCCGCCCCTGCTCCCGTCACCCCTAACAGCATCTCTGTGACCCACCCTACTCCCGTAGATCACCCCTGACGGCATCACTGTGACCCACCCTACTCCCGTAGATCACCCCTGACGGCGTCACTGTGACCCGCCCTGCTCCCGTCCATCACCCCTGATGGCATCACTGTGACCCGCCCTGCTCCCGTCCATCACCCCTGACAGCATCACTGTGACCCCCCCTGCTCCCGTCCATCACCCCTGACGGCATCCTCCCGTCCATCACCCCTGACGGCATCACTGTGACCCGCCCTGCTCCGGTCCATCACCCCTCATGGCATCACTGTGACCCGCCCTGCTCCCGTCCATCACCCCTGACGGCATCACTGTGACCCGCCCTGCTCCCGTCCATCACCCATGACGGCATCACTGTGACCCGCCCCTGCTCCCATCACCACTGATGGCATCACTGTGACCCGCCCTGCTCCCATCACCACTGATGGCATCGCTGTGACCCGCCCTGCTCCCGTCCATCACCCCTGACAGCATCACTGTGACCCGCCCTGCTCCCATCACCCCTGATGGCATCACTGTGACCCGCCCTGCTCCCGTCCATCACCCCTGACAGCATCACTGTGACCCGCCCTGCTCCCGTCCATCACCCCTGACAGCATCACTGTGACCCGCCTGCTCCCATCCATGCACCCCGGACGACATCACTATGACAGCCCTGCTCCCGTCCCATCACCCTGACGGTATCGACTGTGGCACACGCCCTGCTCCGTCCATCACCCCTGATGCATCACTGTGACCACACCCTGCTCCCGTCCATCACCTGACGACATCGCTGTGACCCGCCCTGCTCCCGTCCATCACACCTACGCATCGCTGTGACCGCCCTGCTCCCGTCAATCACCTGACGACATTCACTATGACCGCCCTGCTCCGTCCATCACCCTGACGGCATAGCTGTGACCCGCCTGCTCCCGTCATCACCCCCTGACGGCAATCACTGTGACCCGCCCGCTTCCCCGCTCCATCCCCCTGACGACATCGCTGTGACCCCGCCCTGCTCCTCCATCACCCCGGGAGACATCGCTTATGACAGCCCTGCTCCCTCCATCACCCTGACGGGTATCACTGTGACCCCCTGCTCCCCGTCATGTCACCCCTGATGCATCACTGTGACCACCCTGCCCGTCCATACCCTGACGACATCGCTGTGACCGCCTGCCTCCCGTCCATCACCCTGACGACAATCACTATGAGCCCTGCTACCCGTCCCTTCACCCCCGTGACGGCATAGCTGTGACCCGCCCTGCTCCCCGTCATCACCTGACGGCATCACTGTGACCCGCCCTGCTCCCGTCATCCCCTGACGGCATCGCTGTGACCCCACTGCTCCCGTCCATAGCACTGACCGGCATCACTGTGACCCGCACTGCTCCCCCGTCCATCACCCTGACAGATATCGCTGTGACCCCCTGCTCCCGTCATCACCCCTGACGGCATCTTCTGTGACCACGTCATCCCGTCCCATCACCCTGACGGGCATCACTGTGGACCCCCTGCTCGTCCATCACCCCTGATGGCATCCACTGTGACCCACCATGCTCCCGTCCAATCACCTGACGGCATCACTGTGACCCGCCCTGTCCCCGTCCATCCACCCCTGACCATCACTGTGACCCGCCCTGCTCCGTCATCACCCCTGACGGCATCACTGTGACCCGCCTGCTCCCAGTCCATCACCCCTGACGGCATCACTGTGACCCGGCTCCCCGTCCATCACCCCTGACGGCATCACTGTGACCGCCCTGTCTCCTGTCCATCACCCCTGACGCATCACTGTGACCCGCCCTGCTCCCGTCCATCACCCTGACGGCATCACTGTGACCCGCCCTGCTCCCGTCCATCACCCCTGACGGCATCACTGTGACCCGCCCTGCTCCCGTCCATCACCCCTGACGGCATCACTGTGACCCGCCCTGCTCCCGTCCATCCCCTGACGGCATCGCTGTGACCCGCCCTGCTCCCGTCCATCACCCCTGACGGCATCACTGTGACCCGCCCTGCTCCCCGCCCATCACCCTGACGCCATCACTGTGACCCGCCCTGCTCCCGTCCATCACCCCTGACAACATCCACTGTGAACCCGCCCTGCTCCATTCACCCTGACGGCATCACTGGTCCCGCCCTGCCCGTCCATCACTGCGGCATCACAGTGAACCGCCCTGTCCGCCATCACCCTGACGGCTATCCCTGTGACCCGCCCTGCTCCCGTTCCATCACCCCTGACGGCAATCACTGTGACCCGCCTGCTCCCGTCCTCCCCTGACGGCATCGTGTGACCCGCCTGCTCCCGTTCACCCTGACGGCATCGCGTGACCCGACCTCTCCCTCCATGCAACCCTGACGGCATCGCTGTGACCGCCCTGCTTCCCGTCCATACTCCCCTGACGGCATCGCATGTGACGCTG